TCCCAGGACCCTGGGATCAAGACCTGAGCTGAAGGCAGATGCTTAACCGACTGAGCCACCCAGCCACCACCAAGTACAGGTTCTAAAAGCAAAACGCTTAGGTTTAAATTCGAGCACCACTTCTTCATGGCAGTAAGACTTTGAAATGATTATTGAAACTTTCTTAGCAGCTTTCTAATGTGTCAAATGAAGAAAGTATGCTGTGTGGATCGAATGAGATATTTTATGCAAATTATTTTATGTAAATTTTAGACGGTGTCTGATCTACTTTAAAGGCTGAGTAAATGTTAACTTTTATTACTATTACATTATGACTAAGAAATGAAGCTCAAAGCATGGGGTAAGAGAGACAGATGCCATAATGGTGGTCTCACCTCAAAGAGTACCATTCACCTGACCTCTCACGGTAACAGTATCAATGGTTGTTGTAATTCAAGAACATCCGCCAATTCCCTGACATTCTTCCCACTGAGAGATGGAGTGTGTGCTCTTTCCTGCGAAATTGGGTGAGTCTTTGAGCCTCTCCCAATGAAAAGATTACGCTATCAGCAGAAGTGACACTGTGTGACGCTGAGGCCAGGGCATAAAAACTGTTTCTGTTCTACCCTAGTCACTGGAACACTCGTCCTGAGTCCTCAGCTGCCAGGGAAGCAGCCAACTGCCTGGGGCCGCCATATTGTAGGGAAGTCCAAGCCAGCCGCAGAGACAGACATGGAGAGGCCCTGAGTCTACGACAGGCAAGAAGGAAGTTGGGCAAGCGCCCACTGCTTCAGCACTCACTGTTCAGCTCCAGCCACAAACTAAAGACACACATACGAGGGACCCCAAACCAGAACTGCTCACGGAATCCCTTCCCAAGTCCTTGACACAAGGAAATCATGAGAGCTGATATAATGACTGGTATTGCTTTAAGCCATGACCTTGTAGGTGTTTCTCAGGCAGCATTAGGGAGCTAGAATGCCCAGAATAAGGCTCTGTGATGCTCGTACAGAGTTAGCTTCCCACCTGCTATCCCATTTCACTCCCACAGCTGCACTGGGAAGAACAGATTATAAATTCTCATTTTTGTAATGACGACATAGACTCTAAGAGGGTTGCTGAATTACTCTAGGTCATCTGACCAGTGACCGACAAGGCAAAGACTCCTGCTCAGGAATTCGCACCCCAGTTCCAGTAACTTCTCTGCTGTAGCAGAGCCAACTCCCAGAATGGACCAGAACCAGAAACGCAAGAAAAACACACCTATCCAGACACCCACAAGCGGGAATCCCAGATGATTCTGCTTCAAGTTCTGGGGCGCTCAGAAACCAGCCCTGATGGACACAGCACTGCCCTGACAACAGAGAAAAGCAGAAACAAGACGGACAGCTCTTTGAAGGCCACATAATTAGGAATGATAAGAGGGCACCAGCACTGGCGAGGGCCCATTGTTTCCGTCACCAGGTATCTCAGTTGACAGCCTGGCCATGATTATAAAAGACTTTTCAGAAATACTTGTCATAGCCCGGAGAAGTTTCAGTGCAATGAGGGAAGATGACAATGTCCTCAGTTATGAGGCGCCGGGCTCTGACAGGGCATCAGGACCAGCTTCGGCACTTGTAATGGCCAAGTGTTGCGATGAAGGGAGGTTTCCATTCTGACTCCACTGACTGACACTGCTTGTTTGCCTCTATGGCTTCTTCATTAAAATCTTTAAAGACGCCAGGCGACGGAGACACAGAAAGCAGCTACACTGGAATGGGTACGAAGTCAGCATCTCAAGGTCAAGGTGCCCCCGGAGGAGACCACCTTGAAATAGGCCGCCAGCAGATCAAGCCGTTCAGATTCATCTGTGGCGACTCTGAACAGGGCCAGGGTTTCAGTACAGACAATTCTACCAGAAATAACGTCAAGGGTCTAAGAAGGAACATTTTCAAGACAAGCAAAGAGAAGAAAAACAAAGGAAAGAAGCTTTAATTCTCAGGGGCAAAAGACGAAAAACTAAGTTATGAGAAGAATTAACAATCCCCAGGTTTGAATCCCTTTATACTGGTCTCAACCCATGTGATAAGGAATGTCCACTGTTACCATAACATCTGTTCTCTCTGGCAGCAGAGCTCCAAAATGCTAGTGGAGAATGTGGCTTCCTCGAGTAAAAACCCACCTTTTCCAGGCTCCCTTGCAGCTAGGTGGCCGCTCCTGGTAGCCCCACAGCATAGTTTTTCCATCAGTGTGCTCCAAGAGAAGGGATTGTGACATGTCGAACACGTGTTACGGGGGGAAGCGGCATGCCCCCACCTGACCACTGTGGCTTTCCTGTCAGCTGTGGAGATAGGACCAAAGCTCGGGCACTCATCATGGACAGGACGACCTTGGGAACGCCAGGCAAGCAAACTGAGCAAAACATCACTGAAACCCACGTCCCCAAAACGGACATCCCTACTTAAGATGCCTCCAGACTTTTCTAGCACAAAGAGAAATAAGACGCAAGGTCATTGTTTTGGTGGGATCACCTTGAAATCGAACGCCAACAAGTCCTTTAGAATTTGCCTCTGGCTCTAATATTTATTGTCATCACTGATGTAGTACGAACCAGGCAGGAGGTTCATTTTTCTCGGGGGTTTACAAACGAGGAAACCGAGACATGGAAAAAGAATGTAACTTGCTGAGTGCCACATAGCTATTAAGCAGGGCACGGGGCCAGGATTTAGGCTCGGGTCTCCCAGCTTCAGGAGCTGTTTTGTCTACACTACTCTGGGGGGGCGCTCCGGGCAGAAGTCCTCTTTAGAAATAGAATGTGTCTCTCAGGAAACGGCACAGGGGAGACAGACTGTCTTAGGAAGAGAAAGCCTGCACCTTCTCCCTCTGCTCCACTTGCCCCTTCCCCCCTTTTCTGCCTTTCTTATTTCCATTTTTCACCTCCTTGATCCTCAGTCAGTGCTCTGAGTCAGCCTGAATCACAACATGGTAAATACACTTCCTCCCTCTGGGCTTTCCCACCGAGTGGGCAGGGTTCCGTCGCCCACTCTGAGCGGACACCAGGGCTCTAACCAGAGAGCAGAGAACCTGCAAGAAAGCCAGCGAGCCTTCTCCCAGGTAAGAAGAGAAGTCCCCTGAATTAGGGTCCTCCCAAACCAGCCAGAAGCACGGGAGTCCGTTAGCACGGCCGAGTCTTCACTTTCAAAGGCGCAAGAGATGTTCAGGACCACAGGCCCCTGGCGACAGCTGTGGCAGAATAAATGGATGGGACCCGGCACGTGGGCAGAGCTGAACCAACGCGCGGCATTTAACACCTCCTGACATTTGAATTTCTTGAGCATCTCTTTTCTGTGTCCCACCTCATCAGGAGAACCAGAAGGGGAGTTTTGTCTCTTTTTTGTTCAGTGGTATTTCCCAGCACAGAGAACGGTGTGAGACACAGGACAGAGGCTCAGGGACCGTTCGCGGAATGAAAGAACGAAGGCTAACCCAGAGCAACCATTCCCCGGCCCAGGCTCTCTGGGCTTCCTGAGCGATCAACTCCCCGTGTGCTGCATTCTTTCTCGCTGGGACGATGCTTTCCTTCACATCTTGTAAGCTCACGTGTACACTCTCGCTGGATCTCCTCCATCCACCACTGTCCACCTCTCCACACCTCAGCCGGGCTTGAGAAGCCACGAGAAATCCTACTAGACACAGGGGACCCTCCTCCTTCACTGCTGCCCTTCCCCAGAATGGAGTCTACGATGCTTAGTAGGCCCCACATTCCCCTGGGACAGACCGTATAGTACCAGTAACATAACTAATAACCACCCTCCCACGAACAACGTACTACAGTCCACCGGGTGTTTTCAGGGAGGTCTCAAGTCTCACATTCTGACCATGTGGCCAGGAAATGGAATCAAGCGGCAGCAGGTAATGTAGCTAACTACAAATAAAAAGTAACCATAATCGATGGGGCGCCTGGGTGGCTTAGTCGGTTGGGAGTTCAACTCTTTGATTTAGGCTTGGGTCATGGTCTCTGTGTTGTGGGATCGAGCCCTGCCTCAGGCTCTGTGCTGAGCGCGGAGCCTGCCCGAGGATTCGCTCTCTCCTTCTACCCACCCCCTCACCTCCACTGCTTGCACACATGCTGTCTCTCAAAAAAAAAAAAAAATACCATAATTGAGAACATATCATGTATCAGGCACTGTTACTAGCTTTATATGACCCATCCCATCTAGTTCTCATAAATCCTCCATGAAGCAGGAACTTTTTTTTCAGATTTATTGATGAGATATCTGAAGTTCAGAGAGGTTAGGTAACTTGCTCAAGCACTCACAGCAGAAACCACTGGAGCTGGGATATGAAGTCAGGCTTTTCTGGGTCACAAAAGGCCTTGCTCTTAATTCCTGTCCTTGGGAATGGGAAGAAGCAGGACAGGTGTGTGCGCATGTGCGTGTTCTGTGCAGACGTAAGCACACATGCACAAATGAGAAGGATGAGGATGGCAGGGAGAGGGAGTGGTAAGTTTTCCCAACGTCCAGAAAGTTCCTAATACGGAAAGCATACTCTAAGGTGGGGGGCAGGATATTAAGCTATAAAAGTTAAACCACCGCCTTAGTGAAGCAACAAGTGTCTGGTTCTAAACTCCAGAAGCTGATTATAAAGTGAGAAGGAGGCCAAGGGAATTGGCCAACAGGGCCACTACTCCATGTGCACCACTCATACTATAGTCTAAGTAAGAAGCATCCCCAGGATGGATGACAAATCCTGAGTGGGTCAAAATGAACAGCCAAGAAACAAGCAGTAGTTTCCTTCCCTTTGCTCTTCTTAACTTTATCTCTGTGGTGGAAGCCCTCTTGTGCCCATTTTTCAGATGGTAAGACCAAGGCCCAGAGAGGCTAAAGGACTGGCCAGCCCGCACAGCAAGGTTATGGATGGTGCCAGATTCACACTGGGGCCGAGCCAGGGATGCCGGCGTTTTCAAGGCAACCTGCCTGGGTTGCCAGGTGACACCTGTGAGGGGTGAGGGCCAAGGGGCCTCTCGGGATGCTCCTTACCTCACACTTCTCCACGACCGGCTGCTGCCCGCACTCAGAGCTGTTGCCAGCCACGATGCCGGCGCGGAGGTTCTCGCTGTCGCCAGTACCCTCTTCCATGGAGTAGGTCTTGGAGTGGTTGCCGTGGCGGTGGGCTGGGGCGCGGCCCTGCGCCAAGCTGAGCTGCCGCCGCAGTGCACGGTTCTCCTCCTCCACCTCGCGCACGCGCACCTCCAGGCTCTCGCGCTCCCGCTGGCTGGCGGCCGCATACCTGGGGCTGTGCGGCTGTGACTCCAGAGGCGACAGGGACACCGGCTTCCCATCTGGAGGAGGTGGTGGGCGGGGGGGAGACCAGGTTAGTCCAGACCAAACAGCCCGCGAGCCCTGACCCACGCCCCACGCATCTGTCACTGCAGCTCCTGCAAATAATATATATGTTATATTATAAATATATGTATTATATTACAAATAAATCCACCCAGACTGACCTGGGGACAAAGCTGAGAACAGAAGGACTTAACTACGGTGATAAAAACGAGCATAATGTTTAGAGAAGACAATCATAATTTTTCCTAATGAAACACACTGTCTTCCTTCCCTGCTTGGCACATGTCCAGGTAGACATTCTTGTTCTCTATAAAATACGAATATGAAGGACTAGCAGGTAAAGGAGAAAGAAGAAAAGGAGAAAATGGAAGACAACAAAAAGGAGTAAAAAGAACAAATATTAATCATGACAAGGTTTATTTCGTTCTTCCTCTGTGAACTCCTGTTCATCCTTCAAGACCCTGTTTCAGAAGCCTCCAGTCCCACGGGAAGCTTTCTTCGGTGTGCCAGCAAAATCTTTTTCAGGCTGTTCGAACACACTTTTTGTACATATCACTATGAAAAACGTGTACCCATCAAACTGTACTTGGTCAATCGTTTTAGGGAATGTTTCCTGCGAAGACTGTTCAATGAGAACAAAGAACGGGTCGTACTTCTCTTTGTGGTAAGGTATCATACCATCTGATGCAAATGCCGTAAGGGTGGATACGTGCGTCCAAGCCAAGAGTCAAATAATCAAAGTGCAATAAAAAAGAAGAAAGGAGGAGTGTAATTAACAAGGTTTTCCCAGAAAAGCAGTCACCATTGCCAGCAACACACCTTTTGACCATCATACACAGAGAGGATGGTAGGTCTCCCAAGTCACACAACCAGAACATGGTGGTATCAGAATTTGTACCCAGGTCTCTCCTGAGCCTGAACCTGTACATGCTCCGATTAAACACAGTTTCATAATCAGCCCTATAGAGCGCTATGAATTTTTTAAAAATTTTATTAATGTAAAATCCCCATTTCCCAAAGATACTCAGCACGCCACACCTTGTATACAAGGGCACCGGGGACAGGACAAAGCCAAAGCTGTCACTCCCCTCTGTTCCTGTGCTGTCGAAATCCCGAGACCCTTCTAGACGACCAAGCAAAAATGACCTCTTTAGAAAATTATCCTCTCTTAGCTGCCTGCCAAAACAAAAAAAACCAAAAAAAACAAAAAACCCCACAGTTTCTCTTTTTCCACACTTGGGGTTTTTCTTCTTCCTGCCCAGACCCCACTGAGCTTCCAAACTGTCCCAGAGAGTCTCTGTGACTCATAAAACTTGACGATCAAAGGAAGCAATGAATAACACCCCGGTGTGCCTGGGTGCCTTCACAAACACGACTCATTCTTCTCCCTCTTAATCACCTCAGGGTTAAACGCCTGAGCTCCTGGCCCTCTCCCATGAATGCAGCAGGCATTAATGCAACAGGCATCTCGGACTCGCTGAATTCCACTGCCTGGGACCACAGATCAAAGGCCGAAGCAGAGTGTGCGGGCGCACTAAATCACAGGTTGATTAGGGCTGTACGGACACTGTACAAGCTCTGACCAACTTTTGAAACCCGTCTCCCTGTTTGGTAAAAAAACAAAAACAAAAACAAAAACAAAAAAAACCACACACAAAAAACAAACAACAACAACAAAACCAGTTCCACCGAGGATGGAAACAAAGAGGTCACTGATGGCAACTGTGTTTCCTCAACTGCCATCAACCCTTCAAGCCGGGGTGCGGAGAGATGAGCATCCAGCTTCTGGCAGAAGGCAGAGGTACGCTTCTGTGAGGGGCCGCTACCGATCTGGGTAGCGCTGGGTAGTTCACGCTGATAATGTCTTAGGCGATCGCAGCCAAAGCGGGTGGCAACGGGTGTCCCCGTTACGGATGAGGAAACAGACTCTATAAACATTTAAGCTTTCGCATTGTGGTACAGGGGGACTGCAACTAAGGTCTCCATGACTGTATGGGGCCCCATTTCTACCTTTATGCTGTTACAGGTGCAGATGCTCTGGGGCCTGTGGGGTCTTCTTCCTTATGAAAAAAGCAAAACAAACAAACAAACAAAAAACCCTGGGGACATTTGGGGAGGAGCCCGGCAAGCTCTGGAAATACACTAGGGTCCCAGAAGCTCTGCAAAATTCACAACAAAGGGGAGCAAGAAATTTGTTCTTTTGGATGTACTGCTTAAATGTTGTGAGCTCCGAAACAGGAGCAGAAATGCTAACCTGTATGGTCACTAACACAACATAAAAAAAAAAAAAAAAAAAAAAGAAAGAAAAGTAAAGAAAAAGAAAGAGAAATGTTAACCTCACAGACACGATGGGAGGTTTAAATAAGATATGGAAATACAAAGCTCTGAGCACTTTGCCTCTCACTGGCAATAGTTTCAGTAAGAGGAGGTAGTATTAGGGGTAAGATACGGTGATAACATAAATTAGGTTGTTATTTTCTTAACACTGGGCTGTTCTCTAATATATGGGAGAAAAGAGCCGAGAAACCTTGGCTGTTTTGATCTGTGGCATCTCTGAACCTTCTTCCCTTCAGCCTCAGGCAGGTTCAAGTTCATCCAGAAGCAAAGTGGAAGAGTAGGCAGGCCTCCCACAGGGACCTCATCCCTTCCTCTGGCTCTGCCCCTGAGAGCCCCCCGTTTTGCATACCCATGATTCTTTGATTATGTGCTTATAAATAAAGGCATAATTATGTAATCCCCAAGCAATTACAATTCCAGGGGTGGCAAGGGGGGCAATGCTATATGAACAGTCTACCCTTCTTTAGACCCCAGATGGTTTTAACCACAGTTCACTCTTAAAGGCCTGCAGGTGTTTTCTGTCTTTAAAGCCCTATAGATTTGTCACCAAAGACAACACACAAAATAATAAATGCCAGGCCTTAAGGAGGGGAACCGATGTTTGGAAAGGCAATACGTCTGCTGTGCCCTGCACCTGACATATAAGAAGTACTCAATCAACAGCGGAATTGGGATTTCTGGTTTGTTCTAAAGGTATAGGGCTATCCTAAGCTGGCCCCGTCGTCCTCTTCCTTGGCCAGGTTCCGCTTCGAGAAGGAAATCTCCCAGAGCTGTGCTGCAGGGCCCTCTCCACTCGAACTTTCCCTGGCTCCGTGTGCACACAGACTGTCTCTACCCCAGGGGACGGACCCCACTGCTGCCCCATACACGAGCGGCCTGTTGCTCAGGCGTGTTCATGGCTCTTTCTAATTTTACTCATCCTGACTCCTGCTTTTGTTCCTGGACTACTTACTCCTCTCTCTGGCTCCTGACCTCTTTGTTCTGGCTTGTCCTGGCCCTCTGGGGGAAGAAAGGAGGAAGGGTTAGGACAGCGAAAGGCTGGCTTTTTAGAGGTGGTCTGCACTTCCCAGTGATGTCCTGTGGGCTCTGGGTCTCTCCTGGGAGCACTCTCCCTAGCTTTTAAAGGTCAATTTTTACCCTTCATACTTCCCCTGCTGCAGAACAGTTTAGGGACTCTGATGGTTCATTTTATGTGTCAACTTGACTGAACCACGGCGTGTCCAGATAATTTGGTCAAGCGTTAATCTGGATGTTTCTGGAGGAGCTTAACATTTGAATCACTACATTAAGCAGACTGCCCTCCCTCGTGTGGGTGGGCCTCATCCGATCAGTTGAAGGCCTTGACGGAACAAAAGGGCTGACCTTCCCCCAAGTAAGAGATTTCCCCCCAGCCTTCAAACTGGGATATTTTTTTTTTTCCTTCTGCTTTTGGATTTGAACTGAAACATTTGGCTCTTCCTAGGTCTGGAGCCTTCCAGCCTTTTGAATGGAACTATATCAGCGGCTTTCCTGGGTCTCTAGCTTGCCAACTTACCCTGCAGATCTTGGGACTTGCCCATCTCCATAACTGCATGAGCCAATTATTTATAATAACTCTTTACACACACACACGCACGCACACATACCCTCTTCCTCTATTTCTCTGGAGAACCCTGACAAATGCAGGGACCAGGAACAGTCCACAGATCATACTTTGAGTGGCACTGCCCATAGCTGGCCTTCCAAACCCCAGGGCCTGGCACACTGCCTGTACCTAACAAACATTTGAGGAAGGGAGGAAGGGAAGGGCTGGCATCTAGAACTACAAAAATGGCATAAAAATTGCCCTAGCAAATCTTAAACTACCAGATACTTAAAAAGTGGCCTCATTATAAACACACACACACACACACACACACACACAAGTAACTTTATTGTAATATTAAATGCTAGGGAATGAGGGAGAGATAATCAAGAAAACCAAGCAAATCAAGTAGACTTGTTAGGAGTCTGGAATTCAGAGTAAGAAGGAACTAAATTTAAATTATGGTTCCACTTACTAATAAACCTAGGCAAAAGACTTAACCTGTGACTCCATGTTTCCACATGTAAAATGGGGGATGTGTATGTGTGTATATGTAAATTACCTAGCATCAGGCCTATTTAAAGTAGATACATAAATTCTCCATTTCCTCCCAACCTACTCCATGAAACCAGGAAGCAGGACATGTAAAGAAAACAGCAGAAAGGACCCCTCATTTCTGAGCCCCTTTACCTTTGCTTCTCTGTTACTTTTCCTTCCAGGTTCTGTATTTCATATACACACAGTCTGTCTGTACACGTGTCACACCCCAGTCACATAATGCCTCTATGCGCTGGCCCGCGGTTCAGCCCACTTTGAGTTTAAAATGTCAAAGGAAAACATTATTCAAAAGCTTAGTCGACAACATCCTCCTCCTCCCTCCAAAATTCTCAACAAACATGAATTTATCAGCAGATTTGAATCTCTGAATCCACTTGAGATGAATGCTCTGAATTAAGAATCAAAACATCTAAGACGGAGAACAAAAAAGGTAAATTGAAAATCAACCTCCGTGCAGTGTGGTGATAGAGATTAGGGACTTGCCATCCAAAACGTTCTAAGTGACAATCTGAACAATTTGTGTGCACCGAACCTCTC